CTGGGTGGGCCCCGCTGGAAGCCCCGCTGCAAACTCCCACCAACTCGGACTTCCACGCGCCCTTGCTGCCGGAGGCGGCTGGACCTGCGGAGCAGTGGAGCGCGCACCGCCTCGCGCAAGACTGGCGGCAGCCGACGGTGGAGGCACTGCGGCAGTCAGAGCCTGCCCCCGCAGAGCAGCTCGCCCAGGGGCTCGAGCTCGCGGGTGCCCGCCCTGGGGCCGCGCACGCCGCGATCGCAGCTGGCGGCGGTGAACGCCCTGGACACGCGCGCGCGGCGCCCTTTGTCGGGGCCCTGACGGACAGCGCCGGTTACATCGAGAATCAGAAGCAAGACCTCCGACTGGAAATGTTTGGTGGCGCCGTTCTGGCGCGAGGAGTGGACCGGCACGCCGACGAGATCCGCGCCCCGGCGAGGAGGGCGGCGGCCGCGCCGCTGGGCCAAGAGCCGACAGAAGAGAAAAGACCGCTGGAGAGGGCAGGTGGAGAAACGCCACCACAAGATGCAGAGGACGAGGCACCAGAGGAGGCAGAGGAAGAGGCGGCGGAGGCAGAGGAGGCGGAGGAGGGGGAGGAATCCCAAGCATCGGCAGTAACGACGCAGGAGGGAGCAACAGGCAGCACCAGCCAGAGCGAGGAGGACACGGCGGGCAGCACCTCCGACAGCGCTGGCCAGCTCCGCGGAGACGAGAGCGCTGGGCGAGGGCAACCCCGCGCCGCGCCTGCGGTTCCGCCCCAGAGGCCCCCGGAGCGCCGGCCCGCCCGCGGCGGAAGATTTCGCTTGACGCGGCATCGCTTCTCCAGACCAGCGCACCCAGAGACCCGCGTACAGACGCACCAGCGGGCGCCAGCGGGCGCGCGAGGGCCGCTCTGCAACCCGCTGCGCACAGGCCTGCAACTGATCAGCGAGGGAAGGGCAGACGCAGCGGGAGCAACGAGGAGGCAGTGGAAGATTTTCCCTTTGCTTCCACGGCTGCCTCTGAGGAGAGAGGCGGGGCAGCAGAAGCTCCCCAGGGAGCAGCGCTGAGAGAGATTTGCCTGCTCCGAGGCTGGTGACAGGGCGCAGCTGCTTGCCGGAGCGCGACCGGGCTTGCCGCGCAGGCCGGGGCAAGAGAGGGGCAGAGCGCCAAACAAGAACGAAGAACCCCGCCGCTGCTGCGAGAGGGCCCGCGAAGTGATCTGCCTCGGCGAGGTCTCAGCGGCACGCCCAGCTCCCTGACAGCCAGCGCGGGAGCCCCGGGCACGCAAGCCACGCTGAACGACAGCGGCGCCGAGGGGGGGGGGCGGTCGGGGCCCGGCCGCGCGCGATAGCACCCTCGCCTGGGCCAGCTTGCATGCATGCCGACTTGCCGCGCCGCCGCTCGGGGGAAGCAGCGGCGGCGCGGCGAGAGAGGAGGCGACGCGCGCGCAAGGCGAGCACAGGAGCAACGCCCCAGGGGGAGGCACGCGAGGCAGCGCCGCAAAGGAAGGAGGGAGGCAAAGGAGGCGTCGGGGGCACCCGCACAGGCGGACCCCGCCAGGAGAGGGGAGGAAGAGGAGACGGCGGGAGCAACCGCACAGGCGGACCCCGCCACGAAAGGAGCGGCACGGCGGAGCTCCCGCCTGACCCTGGCCCTCCACCAGGCCTGCGGGAGGTAGTGGGCGGGCGTCGCTGCGCTTCGGAGGCCCACGCGAGGAAGAGCAGCCAGCTCAGGCAGGGGCCCACTTCGATCAGGAGTGAGTCGTTCGGGCCCCTCTTTTTTCGGCGGGCCGCCGAAGCAGAGGCAGAGGAAGAGCAGGACCAGCAACACCGAGGACAACACACGCACACCAAGCGGCACCGCAACGACAACAACCATGACAACTGGAAGCAGCATCGACACCACGACGCGCAGGGAGTCACGCGCACAGGGCGCACCCACGGCCTTCGCCAAGAGGGGCCACTCGAGGCAAGAGACGCTGGACAGGCGCCGTGCCGGGCAGCTTTCGCTCGCAAGGGCTTTCGACGGGCTCGCCGACGAGCCGCGAGACAAGACCTAGAGGACGCGATCGCCGAGCACGTCGCGATCATGAAGCAGGCGACGGCCTTTCACCACCGGCGCGCGTTCTTGACAGAGAGGCACGGCAGAAGGTTTGTCCAGGCAGCGCAAGAGGCGGCAGAGGGTCAGGCGCCGCGCGACGAGGACCAGCTGCCGCAGCAACGCCCCGACCAGAGCAACTTGACTCTGCACCCTTGGCGGCCGCGTTACGGTCAGGCCCCGCGCCGACCGCGCAAGAAAACCGAGGCTGACGAGGAGATGGCGCGGGTGGGGCTACTCGGGGAGCGCGCCCGCTTTGGCCCGGCGCCACGCGCACCACCGCAAGCGCACCCACCAGCACCACAACGAGCAACAAGCAACCTCACAACAAGCACCGCAAAAAGCACCGCGCCAAGCACACCACCTCAAGCGCACCCACCACCACCACAACAAGCACCCACCTCCACAACAAGCGCCCTGGAGGGGGGCGGGTGCTCCCAGCTCCGGCGCCCGCACCGGCGACAGGACGCTGACCGAGAGATGGCGCAGGCGGGTGGCGGGAAAGTCGCGCCGCTCATAACCAGAGCGTACTTCCGCCACGGGTGCCCCGAGAGCAGGCAGCACCGCAGCGACTAGAGCGACGGCGGCCAGCACCACGAGCAGCAGCAAAACGACTACGACGAGCAGCACCACCACGACGACAAGCATCGACAGCAGCAACACCACCACAACTACCACCAGCACCAGCGGCAGCAACGCCACCGCGACCAGCTGTTGCATCACCGCGACGACTGGCAGCAGCAGCACCACCACCACCACGACCACCAGCACCAACAGCAGCACCGCAACCACCACGACGACACCCTGCACCACCACCGCCACCACCGCGAGGACAACGGGCACCAGCGGCAACACCGTCACCGCGACCAGCTGCAGCAGCACCACCACGACGACCAGCAGCAGCAGCAGCAGCAACAACCACCGCGACCACGGACGGCAAGCCCTTCACAGCAACAGCAGCAGCAGCAGCCGCAGCAACGGCAACGACAGCAGCAGGCACCGAGGCAGCGGCCAGGACGACCGCAGCCAGCAGGGCCCCCCGCCAACCCAGACGGCCATTCCAGCCGTCTGGCCGCCATCCCGCCAGCCCCTTCCGAGGGAGGGGGCTGGCGGCAGCTGCAGCCCGTGCCCCCCGGGGGAAGAGCCCCATTCCCACGGTAGGACTCCCCTGGGGCCAGTTCCCCATCAGGGTTCGCGCGGCTCCGCTGCGGTCCCCGGTGGCGCCCCGACTTGCGCAGCAAGCCCGCAGGAGCAACGCGAGAACATGTTCGACCACAAGAGGCGGTACGACTCCGATCAGGGGCGCCGCGAGCAGCAGCACAACGACGACGAGAAGCAGCAACATCAGCAGCAACACCACCACCACGACAAGCATCACCAGCGGCAGCGTCGCCACCGCGACCAGCTGCAGCGGCACCACCACGACGACCAGAAGCAGCAGCACCACCACCACCACCGCCACCACGACCAGCAGCAGCAGCAGCAGCAGCAGCAACAGAAGCATGGCAATCACCACGACGACACCCTGCGACAGCGACCAGCAGAAACACCAACGCCACCGCCAAGACAGCGACCAGCAGCAGCACCGCGACAGCGACTGGCAGCGCCGCCACCAGCACAAGCGCCAGCACAAGCACCGCCACCACCACGACAGGAGCAGTGCGCTCTGGCGAGGACTCCGCGGGAGGCGCTCTACGGCTACCGCGGACAACGGGTCGGCGAAGCCAGCCACCCAGGCCTCCCTGGGCCAGCCGACGACCCGCCGGGCACGCCGGAACGCAGATGGGGGAGTCTGCCCCGGTCCTAGCGCTCGCGGAGACGCCGCCGCACATGCTGTCGGCGCCGGAAAGGTTCGCCACGCCAGACTCGCGAGCGGGCGCGCGGTCGGCCTCACCACCACCACCGCCACCGCAGCTGAACCACTTCGACAGCGTTTTCGGCGCCGTGCCTGCAGGTCCTCCTGGGGCAGAAGTTAAGGCAGTGGGACTTTTCGGGCCTCTTCCGGCCGCCAGCAGCCCTGCGCCTTGCGGGGGAAGCAGCAGAACGCGGGCCAGCCGAGGGGCAGTCGCAGCCGCCGCAACAACAGCATGGGGTGGAGCCAGACGCCAGAGCTCGTTGCGAGGCAGCAGCAGCGGCAGCAGGAGCGGCAGCAGAGCGGGAGGCGCCCGAACGACCGCCAGCGCCACCAGGCGAGTCCAACACCTGCGTCGTGTGCCAGGAGGAGATCACGCAAGACGGGACAGGCAGGGACACAACAGCACAAGAGGCATGCTGCGGCGTTCACTTCCACTTGGGCTGCCGCGCTGACTTGGCCCGCCACCTGGGCGAAGCCACAACTTGCCCGCAGCGCCGAGCCAGACTTTCGACCACGGCTGAGCCACGGGCGCGGCGCGCGGCGCAGGGCGTGGACATAGACCTACCGCCGCCCCCAGCCCACAGCACCAGCGCCCAGGCCGCCCCAGGCTACAATGGGTTTCGGAGTTACGCGCGGGGCGAAGAACCACCACCACCCGAACCTCCGTTACTCCGAGCGCTCTGCTGCCGACGCCTCGGCCCACCGCCCGAATTCTCCGAAGTGCCAGACCGCCGCATGGAGTGGCCCCCAGAGATCGCAGCACGAAACACCAGCGGGAGGATCACACAGTGGCTGGAGTCATGGCTTTGCCGGCGCTGCGGGGCGCGCTGCGGTCTCGACGCGATCGTGCCTCCGAGCGGCCAACAGATGCGCGCGAGGTGCCTGGGGCTGGGCACGTGGGCCGCGGAAGCCTGCACGGCCGAAGGCGAATGGAGGTGCGGTCGTTGCGAACGAGACGCATGGACGAGAGAAGCGCCTGCCACCCCGAGCCCCACCACGAGCCCCCCCGCCAGGGCCAGAGCGGGCCGCCGCGAGGCCGCCACAGCACAGCCTTTTCGCTGGCTGAGCCCCGCCGCAAGCGCCCCTCCAGGCACGCACCAACTCGGCGGTGCACGTGCCCCTACTGCTGGCAGCTGCCGGGCTTCTAGACCCAAGCGAAGGGGCGCAGTGGAGAGAGCACCGCCTCACGCAGGCTTGGTGGCAGCCGACGGTCGAGACGCTGCGGCTTGCTGAACCTGTGCCAACGGGGCCCTTCGTCCAGATGCTCGCGTACACCGACGCCCGGCACGGGGAAGTACCAGCAGTGCTCGCTGCAGACGGAGGAGAACGCCGAGAGCATTTATCTTGCGCACCAGTCGCCCAGGCCGTGGCGCACAGCAGCACGGGCTACATACAGCCGCTGGTGCAAGACCTCATCCTCGAAGCGTTCGGCGGCCTGGTGCTCGCGAGGGGCGTGGACGCACGCACGGAGGAACTGCGCAGCCCCGCGGCGTGGGCGGCGGCCGAGCCGCACCCGCCCCTGCCGCCGCCGCAGGCGCCCCCAAGGTCAGAACCGAACGACGGCGCGAGCGGAGGAGGCGCCAGAGGAGGAAGGAACGCCCGAGGAGGCCGAGGACGAAGAGGTGGCAGAGCAGGCAGAGGAGGCGGCGGGGGGGGAGAAGGCCCCGGCAACGACGGCGGGGACGAGGGCAGCGACGACGGCCAGGCCGACAGAGCACACCCATGCCCGAGCCCAGACCCGCACGGGCCACCACAAGCGCCCGCCCCCGCAGCGGCGGGAGCCCCCAGGGCCGAAGGGGCAGGGGAGGAGGAAGGGGGGGAGGGCGACGGCGGAGGGGCAACACAGGGGCCGGGAGGCCGACGCCCTCCCCAGAGGGAAGCGCTACGCAGGGCAGAGAGAGAGGCGCTGGACGGGGCGGACTTGCAGGCAGCTCTGAGGCAGCGGGTGGCCACACTGCGGAGCGCGCCAGCATTCCTCCGAGGACCCCTGCGTAACGCGCTGCGCCAAGCGCTCAGGAAGATCCACGCAGGGGAGGCCAACGAAGCAAGCCAGCTCCGAGGCTGGAAGCTCCTCTTCCTGATCCCACGCATGCTGCTGAGCAAGGACCCCGGCGCCCGAAGGGTGCCCAAAGAACAGCTGATGGAACGGTTTGCCCGATTCGAGGCGGGCGACTGGGCGCCCCTGCTAGCCTCCCAAGCCCGAAGGCGTCGCGGAGGAGACCGCGGGCGGCCGCCGGCAGGGAGCGACGAGGAGCTTTCCCAGCGCTGCGCGAGGGCGCACGCCTTGGCACAGCAAGGCGAAGTCTCGGCGGCGCGCCAGGCCCTCACGGCCAGCACGATCGCGCCAGGAACCGAGGCCACGCTGGCGGAGCTGCGGGACCCAGCACGACGGCTCGCCGAACCGCGGGAGCCGCTGAGAGCGGACCTGGCAGCGTTGGCCCCGGAGCCCCTCTTCCTCGAGTCCGACAAGCTCCTCCGCAACCTCCGCGGCTGCCGCAGGGGCGCCGCCCCAGGCCCGTCGGGCTTGACCGGCAACCACCTGCAAACGCTACTGGAAGACGAGCAAGCCTGCGGCTTACTGCACCACGCGGCGACGAGGATGGCGCAGGCAAGGCTACCAGGACCAGTGGCGGAAGCTTTGCGCCTGGGGCAGCTCACGGCGCCTACCAAGCCAAACGGGAGGGTGAGGGGCATCGTGACGGGAGACGTGCTGAGGAGGCTGGTGGCCCGCTGCGTAGCCCAACAGATCAACGAGGAGGTGGAGGCAGCAACAGCGCCATTTCAGTTCGCCCTATCCACCAGAGCGGGCACGGAATGCGTGGCGCACCTCATCCAGAGCTTGACGCAGGCCAACCCAGAGGCGACAGTGCTCTCCATCGACGGCATTGGCGCGTTCGACCTCATGTCGCGCAACGCCATGCTCCAGGGGTTGGAAGGCCTCCCGGCCGCGAGCTCAGCGCTACCCTTCTGCAGAATGTTCTACGCGCCCCGCTCGCAATACCTCTGGACCGACCAGCACGGGGACGCCCACGTGGTGGAGCAGGCAGAAGGCGGTGAGCAGGGCGATCCCCTGATGCCCGCGCTGTTCGCCCTGGGCCAACACCCTGCCCTGCAAGAGGTGCAAGCCCACTTGCTTCCGGGGGAGCATCTCTTCGCATTCTTGGGCGACATATACGTGGTGTCAGCCCCAGCTCGATCGCGAGAAGTTTGCGAAATGGTCCGCAGCGCACCCCAGAGGCACTGCGGCATCGGAGTCAACATGGGCAAGACGACGGTCTGGAACGCAGCAGGAGTGGAGCCACCAGGAATCCGAGAGCTAGGCACCGAGCAAGACCGCGTGTGGGTCGGAGACGCAGCCGCACTGCCACGCGAGCAGGGCTTGGTGGTCCTCGGCACGCCCATCGGGCACGAAGGATTCGTCCGCCACTACACGCGCTCCCTGCTGGCAGACCACCGCGTTCTCCTGCACCGACTGAGCCAAGTTGGTGACCTCCAGACCGCCTGGCTGCTCCTGAGCATGTGCGCCAACCCGCGGGCCAATTTCTATTTGCGCACCATGGCACCTGAGGACACGCTCGAGTTCGCGGCGG